CTTTCCCTCCCTGCCTGCCCACCATTGGTCTAGATGAATAATATTTTAATCTTTCTACTTCTTATTTCCATTCAAGAATACTTGTATCGGGTGATAGCCTCACACGAAGGAGGTTCAGTGTATAGTGATTGGAGTCGGGGACGTACAACAGGCACAGGTAAATGCTGTTTGTTTTCAAATGCTTATGTGCACACGTGGGCCTGTGTTTGGTCCATGTAAAGAAAGACTATTGCCCTGAAGTAGCAGTATTTTCATAATCTTGTGACAGAGTGTGCCTTAGTTTGAAAATACATCTGTCCAAGGCTCAAATACTTAGTAGATCAATGCCTTTGATTTTATAAGAATTTAATAATTATTTGCTCAGGCTTGATTCTTTTCTCTTCTGACAGAGTAGAAAAAAAGTTTGGGTTGTATTAATGAGTAAATAGGCCCAACCTACTATAATATGTCTAAGGATCAGAAACCTATAGAGACCTAGAGTACACGAGGCTGAGGTCAGAGGTCAGGTTTACCATGAGGTCATGGTGGCACCTTCTTCTTGAGTCTCTTGCAGAGAGCACCTTTGAACCCTGCTGCTGGTTGGAAGCAGACGTATCGGTTACCATTTCATTGCAGATGTTAGGCATGGTGTTGGCTGTTAGGATCTCATAATGATTCTCCTAGGAGAGAAATTGCTGACTGGTTTAATTTTTAGTTGTAATAAAGATAACTAGGAGAGATAGGATATATTAGATTTAATCTGAGACAACTGACTTATAAGTGTTTTATACTTCTGATTGTGGCCACAAAAATCTTTTGACATAATACAATCACCAGAAGGCATTTACCACAGTTCTGCGAATCAGTAACATTCTGTTCTTTTGGGTCAAATATTTGTCAGAAAGACCGAACGACACATCTCCAGATGTTTACCACCAAATGATCACGTGTCTCTGGGAGAAAGTTTACCCAGTGAGTAACAATTTTTTTAAGAGTATATTTTTTCATTAAGAAATTCTTTTTTGCTTATTATCAGCAAAGCATTACTACCTCATTCTTAAAAGAACTTTCTTAATCTAAAAGATAATTAAGTTCTGAGGTGGGCTATTAACAATCATTTTTAAGACTCTCTGCTTATGTATTTTCCAGAAGAGGACAACTTGACATTTTTCCAGGATGGTTTAAATGATCATCTATTTATAGGCAAGACAAGGAGCCAAGTGATCTCTTAAAGTCCTTTTCAACTTCAGAGTTAGGAGAATGCTCCAACAAAAAATGTTCATTTGTTACTGACATGCTCTCTGCTCTATTTCACACTATTCTATTTTATTAACAAATATACTGTAAAGTCTGCTTTGAGTATAATTTAACAATGTAAATAAGCATCTAGAAAACGCATCCCTTACATAGCCAAATAGTCCCCATTTTGAGTATGACCAAAAAAGTACACAAATAGATTTCTGAATTTATTGCAATGATCTGACCACAAAGTCTTATGCCATAAATTCATATTTACAATCTGACCACAACACTGAACAGCTACATGCTCCCAGGGGTTGGAGAATAATTGCACTATTTAATTATTTTTGAGTCAGTTTTGCTCTGTCCCTTATGAGAAGACCATCTGTTAGACAGTACTGTACTTTGCCCTGTACCACATTTCAGAACTAATAAAATCAACATCACTCCCATTGTCCCTTTACTCAAAACTCAATTGTGTGGCCTGTGTTTTCTATAGGTGCCTATGGTGTATTAGCTGCACAGAAAGTGGATCTCCCCCTCCGTATTTCTTCTTATCCTTTATGTTCACTTTGCTTCCCTTATAGCTGTCCTGTTTTATTGGTCTGAACAGTAAAGTCAGAGAAGGAAGATATTTGATGTGGGAAAACCACAGTGATCCTCCATCGACAGGGCTCAGGAATCCACAAGCGGTTAGGGCAAGTCTCTCATCCATCATCCTGCCATGGAGTTCCTTGGGCTCCTTTTTTGTGTCCCCAGTGCAGTCAGCTGTGATGAAGTTGTTACTGATCAGAACCGTAGAAATATCTAATAAATAGTTAAAGGTTATGTATTTTTAAAATTAGATGGTTTAGCTTAAAAGTAAGATTTTGCAGTTTCTTTAAACTTCCTCATTTTGTATTATTGTTTTGAGATGCTCTGACGAAAATGTCTCTGAAAATGATTTTGTAGACTCTCAAGGGCACTGGCTCCCGCATCCTCCGAAAAATGCAATTAGGCATGTATCCTATATATCATATCTGGTGGAACTTTTTTTTAAAATTAATTTGAAAAACAATTGAATTCAGAAACAGGACCAGACATTCAAGTACAAGACAATCACATTTGTGATTTTTTTTTTTTTTTTGGCTAATACATTGAAGATATAAAAGTGTCAAACCACTATGTATAATAACAGTCTAATTATCTTGCTTCAAAGGGGTACATCATTATATTGCTTGAACTTGTTATCTGCCTACCATCCACCTCCTTCTTTATGAGTGATGTTTAAACTTGTCGGATACATTAAATGTTTTTGGAAAACCTGGCCTAGACTTGAGAGAATGTTATGTCGATGGAGTTTTGATGGTTTTGAAATATCGCTTAAACTGAATGGCTCAAGATGTGCAGTCATATTAAATCAAGGCTGAAAAGTTACAACTCTAATAAATTGTATTTATGCTAATGGTTGAGTCTGATTTACTGCAGCCATTAAAAGTGAAGAATAGGGGCAATAGTCTTCTCAGAACTGCCATTTTCTCTGTTTTCTCTTTTATTCTTTCCCAGCCCCACAAAGTGTGCCAACTCCCTCAAGAGTCCGCAGCATAAACGGAGATAGCATCGAGGTGACCTGGGATGAACCTGTGGTGGTTAGCGGTGTAATTGAGAAGTACATTCTGAAAGCCTACGACGATGACGACCCGCATCCACCTCGCATGCCCTCTGTCAGTGCTGAGTTTGTCAACACCAGCACTGTGGAAGGCAAAGGTAATTCCTTAGTCACACAGATCTTATTCATTTCCTTCTCCTTTTGATTGTGAATAAAAATCTCTTGAAAGTTTTTTTTCCCCAAATATTATAAATATACATATATTTTGCCTAATTAAAAATAACAAAAGCTATCTAATTTGGTAAAAACCTGTGTGAGAGCCAGCAGGTGACTTGGTGGTTATAGTGCTGGGCTCCCACACGGCTGACCACGGTTTGAGTCCCAGACCTGGTGGCTTGAAAATCATGCCAGGCATGTGTGTGCATACTCAAAATCCCAGGAGGAGAATGGAATAGAAGGGATTGGGGTGTGGCCATCCCCGCAGGGAGTGATTTCTCGCTTTCTCTCTTATTGTCTCTCTCTCTCTCTCTATGACGAGTGCACACACTCTATGGCAGAAACCTTAAAAACATATTAAAATAAAAAATAGCCTGTATCTACTGAGGACAAAAAGATAATTCTACAAAGTGCATGGGCTCTTGTGGATAGTTTCAGTGCAAGATTGATATTCTCTCTGTCCTCATAAGAGTAGGTCATAGATGGTTATAACCCTTTAATGCTTGATAGACATCTTTGGGGCTCTGCTTTACAGGAATCAGCTTACCTATTTACCATGCAAACATTTACTCTTTGGGACTAGCCCAAGTTCACATCATTATTATTTATTGTAAAATTGCTGATTAAACCCAATTATCTCAAGGTGGAGGAGTAGTCAAGCCCCAGCGTTTGACCAGCAAATCGGTGAATTGATTTCTCACAGTGCAGTATGTGATACAGGGTGATTAGAGTTCAGTGTGCTCCTATACATCATTTGCATATTTCACACTCCAATTTCTTTATATGTAGTAGACAGTATGTTTCAGCCTTATAGAATATTGAGGCACATTGAAACGGAAAGTCAAATTTAAGCTTTTTGCCAAAAATGTAAAAATAAAATTAATTGAAAAAGAAATTTCCCTACCAAGCAATTTTATAATTGGAATAAATAGAGGGATGTTGGAATAGCCTTAACTGTCTTTCCAGTACATCTATTGCGCAATCCTTTCAAGCCTTTACTTCCTCCCTTGGATTTTTTTTTGAAATCTACAGCCCAAGGACTATAGATTTTAGTCAGACAAGAAAAACCATGCTCTTTACTTTTTCTTTTCTCCTATGAAAACCCAACCTGATTAAGGTCACAGTTTGCCTTTTTTGCACATTGCACATGGTAGTTAAGTGGACTGGAAAATAATGAGCAGCTTAGCACTACAAATTCTCAGTCCTCATTTTTCAAATGGGTACTCAGTAAAGACACCTGTCCCACAAATCTTAACACACTTCTACAGTAATCTCTCTCTCCCCCTCTCATTAAATATTTTAGATTTTCCCAAACTTTTGAAATGTTAACTTCCCTTTCTCATTCCACTCATCAGAAGGTCTTATATTTTAGGTCAACTTAGACACCATAGAAGAAAAAGAACATATAGGATTTCTGTTACTTTCCTACAACCAAAAATATTTACATATTAGTTGCATTTTTCTGTGTTTAATATTAAATTTTATTTATTAGTAGGTTTGTTATTAAGGATTAAGTGAATATATACTAAAGCACTTAAAATCATTTATGGCATATAGGAGGTGTGGGCTATCATTTTATTTTATTTTTTTTTTTTTTACTTTTCTCACTTTTTTTTCTTCCTACTTTTATAGAGCTGCCCTTTTTCTACCAGAAATAAAGTAAGTCTTCATAAATACTCTGGACTCCAGCTTTTCCTGTCTTTTCAATGATGTTGCTGACAGCTTATCTTGCTCTCACTTATATTTTTAACCTCTCTCTACTGCAGTAGAGTTGAGTGTGGCCCCAAGACCAGCACTGACAGCTTCACCTGAGCACTTGTTATTCATGCATATTCTCTGGCCTACCCACACCTGCAGAATCTGAAACTCTGTGCTGCAGCTCAGCAATCTTCATTCTAACAAGTCTTCAGCTAATTGAGATGCAAGCCAAAGTTTAAAAATTACTGACCTGGTTGATTCTTCCCAGAATCTAAATAAAACTTGTATCTTCCATTAAAAAACAAAACAAACAAACAAAAGTTACAATAATCTTCCTTTTATCTCAATTTCCCTCTTTTACTCCCTCTCTCTCCTTTCCAGACTTCCTTCTTTCATGAGTTATCCAGGCACCATGTCCCCACTGTTCACTTTATCTGGCTTCTGCTCATTTCTTTAGCCAAGGACACCAACAACTGCCATGTTTACACGTGCAGAGAGCATTTTATAGTCCTCATCCTCACCACCCAGTGCATTCTGTATAGTGGATTTCTCACCATTTTCTCAAATATTTCTTAGCTTTTCTTAGTCTTGTGTTTGACTCTTGGCAAATGGATGACAATGAAAAAAATCTATATTCTCCACTCAGAGTAAACAAATAATTGTTTATATTAGATATACCCTATTGATGATATAATGCATATTTTCTGAAATAGTCATTGTAGACTTAGGGTAAGATCTAATCAGAAACTAGGGGTAGAGAGACTTTTCAGATTTAACCAGCCTCTCCCAAGGTACCGAAAGATACCTCTCTACAGAAGAGAACCCACCAAAGTTAAAGCCTGTCCAATGTATTGCTGGATGTTACTATAGAGCATGCCAAGCACATGGAAGATTATAGAGAAAAAATATTGTTAAAATTATAAGCTAATTGTTGTTTATATTTTTATACATTCAATCTGTGAAAAACTAAGGACGAAGTTTCAACTATTGATGCAAACTTGTCAATTTATCTTTCAGAGACTCTCTTTTTTTTTGAGAGATTTTCACTGTAGGGCGCGTGCGCTCGCCAGACAGACAGAGAGAGACATAGAGACAGAAAGCGAGAAATCACCCCCCAGGGGGGATGGTCACGCCGCAATCCCTTCTCCTCCATTCTCCTCTCGGGATCTTGGGCACGCACGCACACGCGCCCGGCGTGAGTTTTAAGCCACCGGGTCCGGGACACGAACCGCGGTCGACTACGTGGGAGTCCAGCGACATAGCCATTACGCTAACTGCTGGTTCCCCAGAGACTCTCTTTTTGTAAGCCTTGTTATTACTTTTACCTTCATTATTCATACTTTAATCTTAGAAGCCACATTGTTTTAGAGATATTTCTGTAACTTGAGTTGCATATTCAACTTGAAATTCTCTATGCTTTACTTGGGGAGTTCCACTCATTCACACTTTTTTTTGCTATTAATATGATTGCCCACACTTCTGCCATCATGTCTTATTCATTCCAGTTTTGCTTTTTATTGCTTTTAAATGCCTTTATGGTTGTTGTTTTGCTGTTTCATTTTTTTTTAAATTCTTGCCGGCATTGAATTATGCATTCTTTTAACTTTTCCCATCAAGGGTTTATAAAGTATATACATTGCTCACATGTTTTTTTCTAACTGCCGGAGAATACATGTTATTGCCAGAGAGAGAGAGGGATAGGGAGAGGGAGAGGGAGAACCAGCCCTCCCATGGCATGTGATCATACTACAATCCCTTCTCCTCTGTTTGTCTTTCCTGTCAGGATTTTGGACATGCCTGCATGTGTACCTGGAAAGCTGTCAGGTCTGGGATTCAAACCATACTTGACCATGTGGGATTCTGCTCCCTTAACTACTGGGCCACGGGGCCCATTCACATTTTGTTCGATTCTAATGTGAACTGCAAGGACATATGGAACAGGTACTCCTAAAGGCTAAGGAGAACTCTGCTATTGCCAGGTAGACTTCTATTGTACAGAGTCAGGATAATGAGGAAGGATGTGAATTAAGAGGCATCCCAACCAGCATGGAGAATCATCAAAGTCTAAGAATTTCACAGTGAAGAAAAAGAAAACTAGGAAGTGAGATGGAAGGAGTGAAAGGTAGAGGGCCGGAAAGCTAGATTAGGTAAAGAAGTGAGAGGTGTGGAAATTGGTTGGTGGCAGCTACTTTGGTTGAGATAACATGGTACCAAAAGAGAGAAAAATAGGGAAAGTGATTTTGAGTAGTTTCTTTTGATCTTAAATATAATCCCTCTTTGGCATTTCTGAACTGACTTTTATTGAGATTTTAATGTTTAATTTCAGTTATAAGAGATGTATTTATTTGAATGAAATAATGCTGATACTATATAATAAGCACTTTAGCTTTATTGGGACCTTTATCCATTAAGTTTAAAAATGTTACTAGGGCTAACAGACGGCATGGTAATTAGGTGCTGGATCCCACATGGCCAACCTGTGGTTCAAGTCCTGGACCCAGGGACTTGAAAGACATGCTGGGCATGTGTGCGTGAATGCCCAGCATCCCAAGGAGAGAATGTAACAAAAAGGATTGCAGCGTGGCCACCCCCCCTGAGGGGTGCTTTCTCACCTGCCCTCTCTCTTTTTCTCTCCAGAGAGCAAAATCTGAAAGAAAAAAAATATTGGGAAATGTGTTGGTTTCTTTTCTTTCATTTTCCTGTTATATAATGAACTCTTTTATGCTTCATATTTGTGTCTTTCCTTAGCTTGGAAAATTTGTTGTTGTGTATGTAATCATTACTTCTAGTGAGAAAGAACAGTTTTCAGTGTTATATATTTCTTCCCAGTGTTTTTTCCTTATTTTAGCAGCCCCAAACACACTTGGTAGGATCCAAATCAATCTAGATTCAAATCCCACCTATGTCACCTGTAAGATTTATAATCTTGGGCAAGGTTTTTTTTTTTTTTTTTCAAGGCTTTTTTTTTTTCTTTGTTTGTTTTTGGAGAGGTTTTGGCTATAGGGCGCGTGAGCTCGCCAGATAGACAGAGACAGACAGAGACATAGAAAGTGAGAAATCACCCCCACTCAGGGGGGATGGCCATGCCGCAATCCCTTCTCCTCCATTCTCCTTTCAGGATCTTGGGCACGCACGCACACGCACCTGGCATGAGTTTAAGCCACCGGGCCCGGGACTTGAACTGCAGCCAACTACATGGGAGTCCAGCGACATAGCCATTCTGCTAACTGCTGGTCCC